AACCGTATGTGGGTATTAACCTTCTAGCTCAGAAAGTCAGAAGTCTGAAATGGGTCTCACGGGGTCAAAACCAAGGTTCGGGATCTAACCTGGAGGGAAGGGTTCATGGGAAGGATTTGTTCCTTCCCTTCCAGCTTCCGAACACTGATCTGAAAAGGGGTTGGCATTCATCCTGTCTTCTGTTCCTCCCAGACAGAGGTGGGAGGCATTGACAGGTGAAGCCTCAATCTTCCCACGGTAAAACAACGGTAAAACGGGCTATTGTTTGTTGAGCCCTGACTGTGTAACTCGGTTTGATCTTTATTTGCCCTTGGACAAATGGGATGACTTCTTGGTGTCTTGCTGATGAAAATGGGGGAACGAATGATAGATTGCCAACGTCTGTACTCACGTGGCTGTCTCACGTGGTACCAGTGAGATAGTGCATGGGGCGTGTAGACCTGATGAGGATGCGTGAGGACTTTGGATTATGATGGTGTTGGGCATTCAGGGACCTTCACCAAAAAGATCTGGTTATTTCCTCCCCTTGACCCTCCTCTCCCCACTTCTCCCCTGCTCTTCCTTCCTCTCCCCTCCCCTCCCCTTATCTTCTTGCTCCTTAGTTACCAGTGAAGCACCCAGGACCTCACACTCACCAAGCAAGGCCCCACGACAGAGTCTCGTGCCCGCTCCTTCCTTTTATTTTCATTTATTGAGACAGGGTTTGCCTAAGTCACCAAGGCTGGCCTTGAGCTCACTCTTTAGCCCAGGCTGGCCCTGAGCTCACTCCTTAGCCCAGGCTGGCCTAGAGCTCACTCCATAGCTCAGGCTAGCCTTGAACTCATTCTATAGCCTAGGCTGGTCTTAAACTCCCTCCTTAGCCCAGGCTGACCCTGAGCTCACTCCATAGCTCAGGCTGGCCTTGAGCTCACTCCATAGCTCAGGCTGGCCCTAAGTTCACTCTTTAGCCCAGGCTGGCCTTGTGCTCACTCCTTAGCTCAGGCTGGCCTTGAGTTCATTCTGAACCCACTTCTTAGCCCAGGTTGGCTATGACCTCAGCCTCCCCGGTAGCTAGTGGGCACCACCACACCAGCTCATTAGTTTCCTCATTTCTAATGTTTTTCCTCTTTCTCTCTTTATTCCCCTCTCCCTCGGCTTCCTCACCTTCCAGCTTTGTCCGATATCTTCACGTACCTCTCATGTCTCCCTCTACACACCAGCTCAGAGCCTGAGGTTTCATAACAAACTTATCAATCATGCAGGCCAGACGTGGCAGCGCCTGCCTGTAATCCCAGCACTGGGGAGGTGGAAGTAGGTGGATTATGCATTCAAGGTCAGCAAGCTTGAAGCCAGCCTGGGCTACCTGAGACCACCTCAAAAACCTGAACAAGTCAAGCCAAACCAAACATTTATAAAAATCGGGCACTTTATTAACATCGGTTCCCAGGAGGCCCTTCTGTTTGACTCTTAGACTTCCAAGGTGGCCTCAAAGGCTGTGGCTCCTGGGTGGTACCCCTCATTTCATTGGGGGGGGGTGTTTCTGAAAGAGTTTCTATACCCTAACCTAGGAACAAGGGCAGTCTTCCTCCCAGCTCTGTCTCTTTCCAAGTGGAAAGATATTTCCAATGGAAAATATCTCGAAAGAGGCAGCGATTTTTCTTCCCCTGAGATGAAGGCAGCCGTGCTGTGCAAGACCCTGCCTTGTTATCAGAAAATTAGAGTGGGAAAGGGCCTTCCGTGCAGCTACGGAGACATCTTAATAGACACTTTGGTTGTTACGCAGAAGTTTCTAGATCGGTTTAATTGCCGTAAATGTTATTTGCCTTCCCTGTTATGATAAGGCCTCGAGTCTCTGGTATCTTCCCCCCTCTTCCCTTTCAACAGTTTCCCTTTGCCGAGGCCGAGGCCCGCGTCGGTAAGTTTAATGAAACCCAAACAAAGGAAGCAGAGAGACTCTTGGAGTTTGCGTCTCACGCCCACAGCAGAAGCCGAGCCTGGGGAGCAATGGCTCCAGACTAATGAGGCTTTGCAGCTTAATGCAGCTGACAGGACGTACCCCTCGAGCCGCGCCTGGAACGTGAAAGCCAGCCCCGGAGCGTAATTGCCTCTGCCCTGAGCAAAGGGGCCGGATGGGGACTAAGTATGACACAGAACTAATGGGAGATGCTCATAGCCCGAGATGACGCAGCCTGGGGCCATCATCTGAGATACTTTATTTTTAGGGGACGGGCATTTATAGAAACTTCCAGATCAGGAGCCTCAACCTTGATACAACTGATTCTTGCGATGCTTTAACTTGTTGAGGGTATGGGAGAGAACTCTCACCTATGTATAAAAGGATGCTCTAGCTGCCAGTAGCAAACTCCCAAGTGCAGTGTGACACCCCAGAATGTCTTCAGAAATCTCCAAATCCCCCCAAAGGTTTGCCTGGGAGCTGAGGATGTGAACGCAGGGCCTCACGCTTGCGCAGCTGGCACCCACAGAGCAGCTCCCAGTCCCTTTAGGGAGTCACATTTGCTCCTGCAGGTTCCTGACTGTGTGACCTTGACCGGGTCAGTGTGCCCGTCCTGAGCTCCCTTGCCCTCCTTTGTACAGCACTGGATGCAAGGAGGCAGAGGTTCTGGTTATTAAGTATACGGAGGATCTCGGCACATACTAACTGTCCAGTAAACTGTTTCTGTTGTAAGAATCTTGGCTTCACCAAACATATGTTAAGAGCATCCTCAGCTGCAGGCACTATGCTCTGAGGTGAGTGCAAAGGTGAAGATTTGACTATTGTTTTTGTGGAGGAGGTAAATCCACACAAGACGTATAATAAGGGCTGCATCCTTCCTTACTCATGGCAGGCATTACTAATCAATCTCAAGACTTGTTAGCAGTACCTCCTTCCTCAGGTATGGCAGACGTTAGCAATCAATCTCGCTACTCTTGCTCTCAATCCTTCTCAACTCAGCTCTAGTCAGGCATTATTAATGGCCCGTGAGTGGACTCTCCTTCAGCACGTCCTGTTTTGTAGATCGCTCATAGGAAGTTGACCTTCCTTTCCTGTCCAGCCTTTCAGAGTTAATGGGTAATGACTTTTCTCCCATGTCAGTCTGAAAGAGGGGTTGACATAGAGAATATTTTTAAAGAGCACTATCTTCCTTTTTTATCTTCCTCAGAAACTGGACAAAGTAGTAAAACGGGCTTTGCTAAACATTCTGTAGGCTGTGGGGCTTATGGCTCTATCAGGCCACCTCCTCAGTTTTCTTCAGCATTTGGGGCTTGGAAAATCATCAGCTCTTGAAAAAAAAGAAAGGAAGAAAGGAAGAAAGGAAGGAAGGAAGGAAGGAAGGAAAGAAGGAAGGAAGGAAGGAAGGAAGGAAGGAAGGAAGGAAGGAAGGAAGGAAGGAAGGAAGGAAGGAAGAGGTTCCAGCTTTGCAAGGGTTGCACAGAGGTTTCTGGAAACAGCTTTTGGATCACCGTGACCATCACCAGATAGAAGAGAGAGCCCACTGGGGTTAAATGCTCCCATGTGTTCCGACATGCCCAGCTCTCCCAATGAGAGCGACACTCCATGACAATGCCTGTGAAAAATGAGACACAGGCCTGCAACCCTGCAGCCCCCGGCAGGCTCCATCCATCTGGCTGAGAAGTGGGCGCTGGCGTGGGCTTGGCCGATTGCCTTTCTCCTGGACTGTCCAAGGCAGCACTAGCTCACGCCGCAGCTGTTGGTTTATGTCTGCTGCCTGCAAGGTCTCCCAGGAGGCTGCGGGGGGGGGGGGGCAGGCAATGGGGGTGGCATGGGCTTATGTGCAAGGTCTCGGAGGACCTAGAACTTGGTCATTCGTGACTATATATGGTTTGCTCATATTTGATCTAAAGTGTGAAAAGAAAATAAAGAAAGGGAAGAAAGGACAGGAGCAGGCACTCAGTCTGAAGTCCACGTGCCTTATTATTTCTTTCTCATTCTTATTTATTCACCATCTGTCCATCCGTCCATCCTTTCATCCATCCATCCACCCACCCACCAAGCATTTCCCATGCATACATGTAGCCACCCACCTCTCCTCCGTCACACGCTCTCCTTCATCCATCTACCTACTTACCTGCCCATCCATCATCCCATTTACCTTACATCATCCCATTCAGCCAGTCATCCATCCGCCATCCATCCAGATAGCCTTACGTTATCCTTGCACTCACGTGCTCTCTCACTCACCCACTTGTTCTAGTATGAGTTGGGATTGCACACAGTAGGACGGGCTGAAAGTTGTCTGCAGTATCCGAAGGGTTTTCCACATAGAGTCTGCTCAGCTTTGCTTTTTGTGTGTGTGTGTTTGTTATATGCAGCTCAGACCGGCCGCGTGCACGACAGGCACTCAGCCTACACCAGGCATATGCTAAGAACCATTAAGCCGAGGTCATGCTTGGCTGTATTCTTTCCACAGTGCCCACCCCATATTCTCTCTCTCTTCCTCTCTCAATTCTATTTTTAGATTACAAAATGTAACTTTTAATTACTCAGTGGTGTATGCATGTGGGCACATGTGTGGTCAGAGGCCAACTGGTAGGAGTCAGTTCTCTTCCTCCACCCTGTGGGAGGGACCCAGGCACCGAACTCAGGGCTTCCGCTTGGCAGAGAGACCTTTATCCATCCACCTCACCAAATCACACATGCAGCTTCTTTCTTCCTTTATTCTTTCCTTTTGTTCTTTTTTATTTTTTTGAGACAGACTATTACTACGCAGCTCAGGATGACCTTAAACTCATAACCCTCCTGCCTCAGCCTGAATGACTGGTGTGCTTCCCCACACCTGACCTCAGCTGACATATTTGAAGGCATCTGCTGCCTGCCCTACCTGGGAAGCCTCCTTTTAGTCAGCCCAGGACTTAAACTGGGGCTCCACCTGGCATGGCTCTGTAGGCCAAAGCAACCAACACGCTGCCTGAGGCCAGCTGGTGGGATTCCTTTTGGTTTCCAGGGACCAGGCAGAGGTGGCTCAGCTCTTGACCCTTCCTGTCTGTTCTTCTCTCCGCAGACACACTGTCTGTACCACGGTGGTCACCGCAGATCCCACGCAGAGACCTTGGCAACTCCATTAAGCACAGGTAGGTAGGAGACTGTGCCTGTGTGTGTCGGGGGGGTGGTGGTGGTGCTGGAGCCGGTGGACGCCAGTAATGTGTCCATCCTCAGCTTCCACACCACCACACCCTTCTGCCTTTGGTTGGACCGAGGTGTCTGCACCATAGCCCTGCCCTTAGCAAATCTACACAGGAGGGTTAAAAACAGAGACCTTATGCTCACTTTGACCTGGGTTCCAGTCCCTCCTGATAAAGCTTTGTAGCCATGAGAAATTGCGTACCCCCTTTGGACTCCATTTTTTAAAATGTTTTTATTATCAAAAATTACACAATATATAATGAGAGAAATAAGGGAAGACTCTGGGATAGTATAATCAAGACCTTTAAAGAAATAACATTAAACTGTCTTTCATGAAACAAGCCCAGCAGGCTAGAGAGTGTGACATCAAACCATAGTTAAGAGAAGAAACTTTGATTTTTGTAGGAATAAGTTCATACATTCTGCCTATCAATGGGATGCTGTATTAAGGGCTGTGCACGTACCTTACTGGTATCATAAAGTACTTCAGGCTCCAAATGGAGGCTCTTTACCCAGGAAACTCAAGATGGCTAGCTAAACTCATTGCTACAGGTTACTGGAGAGGAGCGGACCAGCAGGAGGCCTTCCCCAGGATCCTCCATGGCCTGGAATTGTTTCCAACAACTTCTTGACTCTCCCAACCAGGGAGAGAGGGGAGCTGAGTCAGGCCAGTAGGGGGAAACTCTCTGACAGAGGAGGCGACGGAGGCCCTGAAGGATGAGGCAGGGGACTGGATGCTAATCATACTCAATCCCTGTGATCTGAGAACACCTGGTGAGTGTCTGTGCCTGGGGGAGAGTCAGCTGCCTCATTGCTCCTTCATGGAACCTTCCCTCCAACCTGTAGAATTCTAGTGTCTGTGTCTCTGGGGAGCTGGCCAGTTATCCGAGGGTCTGTGGACACAAATTGACAGTCCCCAGAGGTCTGTCAGCCAGGCTGAAGGGAGAAACCCGGACACAGACACAGCCTCGGCCTGGGGCAGGGCTGCTGTCTCTCCTCATGACAACTCAGCCCCAGTTCTTAAAGAAAAATGTCACAGCCGGAACCCTTGGTGGAAGCTGTGAGGAGCAGTGCCGGACAGGTCAGTCGGACAGGTCAGTCGCACAGGTCAGTCGGACAGGTCAGTCGCACAGGTCAGTCGGACAGGTTAGTCAGACAGGTCAGTCGCACAGGTCAGTTGCACAGGTCAGTCGGAGACCAGAGGCTGAGCTGTGGTACCAAGGGGACTCAGGATGAGGGCCTTTTCAAATGTTTCTGGTTTAGTTCTGGTTTAGCCACAGTCCCTCGTTCAGTCCGCCTCTGTGCCACACACATTTCTGGCCCGGTCACCCTTCCAGTTTGGTCACACTTGTGGCTCAGTCACACCCCTGGGTTCTGCCTCAGCCTCACCAGGCTTGGCTCCACCCCTGGGCTATCACTGGAAACTGGTGATGCCCCAGCTTCTGATTCTGATGTCAAGGGAAATGAAGCAGGCTGACCTGCTCCTTGGGCCCCAGACCTGGCTTCCTAGTGAGGCGAGAGCCCCCTGATGGGTGTTGTTCTTCAGCCTCGCCTGCCCTGCATCATCCCCGCCCCCCCCCCCCCCCCCCCCCCCCCCCCCCGGCTAGGTGTCAGGTGGGAGAAACCCCCAGCCTGGTTAAGAGATTACATTAACATCCCATTCCCTGTGTTGGCTGGTGTAGTGGTGTATGCTCCCAGCACTTGGCGGGGTGAGATGGTGAGTTAAGAGTTCAAGAATAGCCTGGCCATTGTAATAAAATCCTGTCTCAGAAAAAGCATCACCAGGAGCAGCAGATCTCACTCTTTGCCATCGGAATTATCACAAGAGCCAGGCAATAGAGAACGTCCACCCAGGGGACAGGACAAAGCTGAAGAGGAGAGAAACCTGCCAGCAGACCCTGTTACCTGACCCCCAGTCCTATGTTGCTGCTCAGCGGGTCTTTTGCCATCCCCTCCGCTGAGCTGCCCCAGCTTGCAGAATAGACCCGCTAAGCGCTGCTAAGACCCAAAGGGGCTTAACCAAGCCCAAGTGCAAAGCTGGGGAGGGAGCATCGCAAGCCAGCATCTCCGTTGTGAATATTGCTGTTTGCTTAGCTGTGGCAGCTCCAGGCTGCCGCTCGCTGTGTTTGAAGGGTTGACCCAGATCCCGCAAGAGGGTAGGCTGAAGGAAGCAGCCCTCCTGCCTCACAGTTCTCCATCTCTGAGTTATGTAATCACGTCCAAGTTTCCCCTTTGACACTCGGAGGAGGCAGTGCAGATTGCATACAACTACTGCCGACGGTGGCACAAATTGAAAATTAAAATTAACTGTGACCTGGGAACCTTCAATAGCTTTGCTGGATCCAGCCCCACCCCTGTGTCTTATCTCAAGGCAAAAAGCATGCCACGGCTCAGGAGGGGTGATCTGCAAGTTAATCTAATAACTTCCAGGTGGCCTTGGTGACCGTGTCGTGTGGGGGCTTCCACACGGTATTTGCCGCAGGTGGCAGTGACTGGGGGAGGGTGAAGCGGTGTTGTCTGAAAAGGTTTTCGTTTGTTGGGGGGCGGGGACTCTATAACTGGATTTGGAGGTCCATTGCTGTCTTGAGGAATTGAATTTGCCATTTGTAGGCTACCTCCAGGATGTGAATAGGTGACCATAATGAACTCTCCAGGTAATAAATGACACAGCCCAATTCATTGAGCATTACCTACGCACCAGGAGCTATGACACCTTCGATATGCCTGACCCAGTAACCCCTGAGATACCTGTCAAGTGTCTCACTTTATAAGCAAGGAAACTGAGGCTTCAAGGTTTAGGCAATTTGATTGAACTTAATTATCACCTGTTCTGGAACAAACAGGGCTGGAATCCAGGGCTTATAGACTTCCCATTCTAGGGGTTCATCCTGCTGGAGAGGGGCCCATGGCCACTGCCCCACCTTGGACATTTCCTGTTTCTTTCTCACAGGTTTTCCACCAAGTATTGGATGTCTCAGACCTGCACCGTCTGCGGGAAAGGGATGCTTTTTGGCCTCAAGTGTAAAAACTGCAAGTGAGTGATTTCCCTTTAAGGAACTTTTTACAATGCCAGATATAAATTAGCACTGAGATGGGCTTTGGCTCACTCCAGGGAGGTGAGGAGTCGCGGGTGAAGCTGTCTGGGTATCAAGGAGAACGGTCTGATAAAGCCCGAGCTGTGCGGAGACCGTAGGAAGACTAACGCGACATGTGCTGGGGCTGGTGGGGCCTCCCATGCTCAGGGCCTCTATTGTGGTTGTGAATGTGAAGAGTGTCCCACAGCCTCGTGTGATCCGATGCTCGGCTGCCAGCTGATGTTTCGGATCCTTTTGGACACGGGGTGGGAGTCTGACTGGCAGACATTGGGTTATAGGAATAGAGGTTAACTGTTCTAGGCCAGCTCCCCTTCTGCCCCAACGTTTCCTCACTGCTGCTGCAACAGGACCTCATGCTCCCACCACTAGGCTCTCCCACCACGACGGACTGTGTCCCCTGATTTATAGTTGCCCCGCATATTCTGTCATAGAAAAAGTACCTAATACACCGTCGAAGGTCAGTCACCGGCTGATTTCTCTTCTAGCTGCCCAATAGTAAATCTTTTAAGCTCCATGGTCCTCAGAGGCCTCGGTGTTTCCCTTGGAGCTTCGCAAAACGGACTCGTATATTTTGAAAGTAACCACAGACAGTTCAGAAATAGATATGGCCATGGATTTGGTCCAATAAAACTTTATCCATAAAGACAGTTGACAGCATGGGTCCAGCCCGTGGTTTGCGGCTTTGATAATTTGCAAAGTTCTTTCCCTTCTGCTCTTTCTCATCCTGCTCTGTCTCTGAGAGTGTCTTATGATTGCCCCATTTTATATCTGCAAAAACTGCGTCTCAACTTGGAAACGTCACAGCTAAGAAGTAGGAGTGAGGACTTGAACTCATGCCCCTTAATTCCTGCTCCATTTTTTTCTTTGGCTTCATGTTGGATGCTTATTCCGGCCAAGAGGTGGGAATACCTCAATCCCCACTCTTTCTCCCTTCCTTATACACATTCTTTGTTATGTCTGACAGAAGATTAGAAAGAAGGCAAGAGAAAAATTGACACCAGCCATGGGCTCTGGAGGCAGGTTAAACCAGGTTCAAATCCTGCCCCTTCCATTTAGTAGCTGTGTGACCATGGGCACACCCCCTCACATTTCTGTCCTCATATGCTCCTCTGTGTGTATCTGCACACATGTACTAACTACCTACTCAGGTCCAGCGGCTACAAAACTGACACATTTGACCCTCTGGAAAAGATAGGGGTGGGTGTATATCTGCTAGAGACAGGCGGTAAGAGTCTCCCCACCCCTCGCCTGTCTGTTGGCCTCACCTGAGCAGGTTAGCCACACTGAGCTCCTTGATAGCCTGGGCTGTGGGGAGGAGTAATTATTTCCAGCCCCTGGGAATCCTTTAGCTCACGACCTAAGGGTGATTGGGAGAGTAATTGCTGTATATTAGCATTCTGAGCTGCTGCTCTCTGTGGTTCCGGGCTCTCCGATGGCTCCTCAGCTTTCTGACTCTGAGCTGCACAGAGGCAGGTGCTTAGGTCTTGCTCAGAGGCCGCCTGATCTCCCCAGTACACCTGCTGCCTTGGAGACATCTCGACTGTATCAGGTCATGCTGTGTTCTGTGGGAGAAATGCCTTTCACATCCTCACACCTGCTGCGTGGAGGCTTTGAAGTCAAGTAATTAGGTGACAGGGACTGGGCAGGAGTCAGCGAGGCTGAACACTCCGCAAGCCTTTTCAATTTTCAGCACTGGAGGTGGGACCCAGAGGTGGCTTTCCTCCCTGCCTTCTGTTTTAGAAGTAATGAGCAAAGCCTGAGACCCTGCCAGGGATTTGGAGAGAGAGGGGGCTGGGGACAGGAGAGAGGGACAGTCACACAGAGCTGAGGCTTTGGAAGTCAACAGTGCTAAGTGTGGGTCCCATTTCTGCTTGAAGTCTTAAGAGGCATGCCATCTTGACCTTCTTCTCTGAAGAGCGGACGTGATATTGGCGCCCATCACTGGACTTCTGGTGGGGGGGAGTCACTGAAATGCCTCGCCTCACACTGCTATCCAGGAACATTTCCTCCACTGCCTCTTACTCTACCTTATGTAGTGTAGCTCCTGGCACATGGAAGGGTGAGGTCAGAGTTCAGACCAACTGGGCTTGGCTGGCATCCATGACCTCAGCAGTGTGCTCAGCCCTTCAACCATAACAGTTGCTGCTGCACTGGCATGGAGCCCAGCTGTGGGTCTGTCCCAGCCACACACCTCTGTCAGCTGCAACAGGAACAGGGCCAGCTCCATGAGATTGCTGTACAGGCGTACTGAGGCTCACGGTTGAGACCCACACTTATCTTATGGATAAAGTCCCTGGAGCTTTGGTTAAAGTGAGAGGGTCAACATTTATTTGCGTGTGTTTGCAAGGACCGACAAAAAAGTGGAGGAATGAGTCTGAGTGGAACTGAAGGACAGCAGCGGCCCTGAGAGTGAGGGGGCTGGAGGTGGGCAAGGCCGTCTCACTCGTCACTCAACTAATATTTGCCAGCTGGAAAATCATCATTGCAGGTTAAGACGCCATTCTCTGTAGTGCTTGGGACCAAAAGTGTTTTTACGTTTGAAGCGCATTCTGACTTTGGAAGATCTGAATAATGCAGACATTTGCATATGTGATGAGGTGTCTTGGAGATGAGACGCAAACTTCATTTGCACAGGGTTTTTGGTGAGCACATATTTAAACTCAGGTTAGGCATGGGGTTGCTCCACCTGTGGCCCTGTGGGAGTTCAGAAAGTTTCAAACTGGAAGCCATTTTTGGTTTCAAATTTTTGAACTAAGGATGTTTAGTTTCAAAGCATAAATACTATGTCCCAAAGGGTTTTCCAGGCACCAGAAGCAACAACAGGAGATAAAGTGACAAAATCCCCGGACTGGTGGAAATTACCTGTGGGTGGAGTGGGAGACGGGTAGGTGGAGAAGGAAGTCAATCTGGCTAAAAAGATGGTGTGATATTGGATGATATTGGTGCTGTTAAGAGCAGAGCAAACATGGTGCCATGCCTGGAGACTTGTCATCTCAGTAGTCGGGTCTGGAACTGAGGCACAGCCTGGGCTGTGTAGTGAGACCCTGTTTAAAGAAAAAAGGTGGGAGAGAAAGAGAAGGGAGGGCAGAGGAAAGGAGACAGAGAGGGAAGAAGCAAGAGATAAGGAAGAAAGAAGGAAGAAAAGGAGAAAGGGAGGGAGGGAGAAGAAAGGAAAGGATGGAGGGAGGGGAAGGAAGGGAAGTAGGGAAAGGGAGGGGAAGAAGGGCCACAGTAAGAGGTTACAGTTTTAATTCAAGGGCTCTGGGAATTTTAAGCTTTTCCCTCACCTGGGCCTTGTGTATCGTCATCTGTTCAGAAATGCATGTGGTATATGTGTATGTAAGACATATGGCTTCCTGACTGTGGGTGCCACGCGGCTAGCAGCCACACACTGCTTCTGACCATGGGTGCCACGCGGACAGCAGCCACATGCTCCTGTGGCCATGTCTTCACAAGCTCAATAGCCTGTACCCTCAAAATGTGAGCCATGGTAAACCCTTCTCCCCTTAAGTTGCTCCTATCAGGCACTTTGTCCCAGCAGTGAGATTAGTCACCATTGCAATCGTTAAGAAGGAAAAGGTAAACAAGATAATTACCCTCTGGAGTTCTTGCCCCTCCCTCACCTGGCCAATTATGAGAGCTGATTAATGGATACTCACACCATTACTGGCTTGACAAATAAGCCTTGGGATATCCCCCCACCCAGGAAGCCAGAAACTTCTTCATGCCCAACCCCTCTCCCCCTCCGCAGTTCTCCTCTTAAGTGCCCACTTCCTCCGGAATTATCATCAGCTGTCTTGTTGGGAGTCTGAATGGATTAATGAGCTAATAGGAAATTAAGGCTCCGAAAGCAATTTCCAGTTATCTAAATCGAGGCGTTCTCATCTAATCGGTTCAGGAGTGTGGAAGGGAGCTGCGTGCAGAGTGGTCCAATGTCCACACTCTGCCTGCATTGTTTCACAAGTGTGGATGCAGCTGCCAGGGCTTGCTCTTCCACGCACAGGGATGGATGCTGATGGGTTTCCCAGCTTTTGGCTTGGCGTTGTCTGCGATCCACCCTCCTCACCTTCTATGGGGGTCTGAAGCCCTGACGTCTCATTTATAGGAATCCTCTCTAGCCTCTCCTCCCGGCCCCCTTCTTAGAAGTCACCGCGTAGCTCAGACCAGCTAAGAACTCAGCTATGTAACTCAGGCTGGCCTCAAACTTGTGATCATCCTCCTGCCTCAGGCTCCCCGGTGCTAGGATTATATATATGCATCACCACAGCTGACTCTGTCCAGTTTCTTAGAGGCAGATAGTAATTTACACAAGAGTGTTTTGAGTGACTTTGTGGTAGAAAAAGAGAATTGAAGCTGAGATGCATTTTTTTTCTTTCTGTCTGACCTCCTGCAGTGTGATAAAGATTGAAACATCTGGGGCTGGAGAAATGGCTTGGTAGTCTTTACTGCTCTGAGTTCAGGTCTCAGTATCCACATCAGGCTGCTCACAACTGCCTATAACTCCAGCTCCAGTCAGGTCTGATGCTCTCTTGTGGCCTCTGAGGGACCTGAAGTCATGCATACACGTGCACGCGCGCACACACACACACACAGATGCACATACAGACACTCAAGTTATTTTTATAAAGAATGAGACGTTATCCCAAGCCGTCAGTAGAGACATCACATTTAAACAAAGCCCCTGCTCGTTTTAACTGCCTCATCCTCTCTTCTACACCATGCTTTAACTCTAGGTAGGTCAACAGGAAAGGTTCGCAAAAGATGCCAGATAGGGGAGTCATCATTGCCACTGGTTTAGAGAAACAGGTTTGCATAATGGATCGCCCACTCTCAACAAAGGGATTGCAGCCTGCGCAATCCGGTTTCAGCATGCCAGCTGCCAGACATTTGCCCAGCACAACCGTGAACCCATTATTATACCTTCACCCCGTGGGATAAG